TCCTATAGATAACCCACTACTATTATGGACTACTGGACTATATTGGAATATTTTGCTAAATTCATGCACCTATAATATTTAAATGACAATAGAATACCCTTCTCTGACAAAACTAAACAAAAAAGAAGGGGATACAAATGAATGACCATTTTGTATCTGTATATTCAAAATAGGATAGATATACAGCTTTCTCTTAATTCAATGAATAGAAAGATTTGTTCTAATAATGTTTGTAAACAGGATATCATGTCTGCATCTTAAACAATGAATAACCACTAAGACAACAATATGCAATGTATTAATTATTGAAACTGTCCTACTAATCGGATTTGAAACTGTCTCACTGCTATTTGTTTCTCAATAAAATTATTGAAAAAAATGAAAAAATTAAGAAAAGCTGTGTAATGATGCTGAACAACTAATGCAATTAATCTTACTAAAAAATAAGTAACTAAAGCCGATGCCAGATTGCTAGAGGACCTAGGCTGCCTAATGAGAGAGACTCAGAAGCCTAATACAGCTGACCTAACAGCTCCCAGATCTTTCTAAATGAAGTGGATGATTTTAAAAGCACCTCATGGCTACTAAAATATGGGGGTGCTCAAGTTCATCATATAAAGCGGCGTAACATCTGCACACTACCTATGGACATCCTCCAGTTTACTTTAAAAAAATGTATTTGGTACCAGGTGTCACTGTGCAGCTTGGAAAGGTAGTGAACCTCCTGTTTTCAGCCTCCCCAGTGCTGGGATTACATGCATGCGCCACCACGCCCAGACTCCTGTGCAGGCTCAGCGCCCCCAGGGTGGGGCCGGCAGGGCATGTGGTACCAGGTATTCAACCCTGGTTCCTACGCTTGCCTAAGCAGGCGCTCAGTCCACTGAACTATCTCACGGGCCCCTCTAGTTTACTTTAAGCCATCTTATTTTGTAGCCACTAAGTTTACTGCTTAGAGAATAATAACAAGAAAGAATTCTGTATATGTACAGTATAGATGTAATTTTTTCTGAATATTTGTCATTTGCTGTTGGTTGAATCCACAGATGCATACAAAATAGGCTAAAATCTTAAGATCAAGCAGGACCACCTCAGAATATATGAACGATTTACTCTCAAGGATTCTATTAACAGAATAAAACATTCTAGTAGAGTGAAGGGAGAGTTTTTTACCATCTCCATGGATACAGAGAGATTCTCACAAAAATCTCACATCCATATTTTTCCCAAATAACAGCAACAGTTCAAGAGAATACACAGGTATCTTTTATTATAGCAAGGAAAATACATGTCTTCATACCAGTACAACTGTGTGGGACAGTAAAACATCTCATCAATGTTCAGAAGAGACAGGTATGCCACATGAATTATTAGTTAAGACTATTTCCAAATGCAATAGAATAGAGAAATAAAGGGAATACTGGGAAGGAGTCAAGAGAAAAATCTTAAAAATGATAAGAAATCACAGTTTTGGTATTTGGTTACAATATTAGTATACAAAACCCAAATACATTCATATGCATACGCTTAGGACAAAATGGAATAAATAAGTCCACTGAAAATGACAGCCAAATGAGACAGCATAAGCAATTTACTGGACCTGTTGAAAACAACCAAAATACTCTACCAAGGGACATAAAATTAGACGGGCACACAAGCCAAGACTGCAGTGTTCCCAAATAGAGAGATTCAATTAATCTGTGGATCCAGTGGATGCTCACTTAGAAATATAACAGAGAGAAAGAGAAATATAAAGGAGGCTGAGGTGAGTGTTGGCTTGAAAATACTGAGAGTGACATAACTAAGCCATGAGAGGCTGAGCGTGGTGTCACACGCCTGTAATCTCTGCAGTCAGGAGGCAGAGGCAGGAGGATCACTTCGAGTTCGAGGGGAGCTTGGGCTACAAAGTGAGATCAAGGCCAGTGAAACCCTGTCTCACAAAGATAAACAAAAAACAAACCATGAGAAATAGAAATGAACAGAACAGAATAGACCCAAATACTGAACTAAACTTCGTTTACAAGTAAAGGGACATTTTAAATAAGTGTAGAGATTATCACTTTATTATAGAAAAGTATTACATATTTAACTGTCACTACTGATCACAGTTCATAGAAACAAAATTAAGCTTCGAATCCATTTCTTGCAATAAATAAATCCCAAGAAGTGAGAAGGTATAAAAACAAATGAAACCATAAAGCTTAGAAGAAAATATGAGTAAGTTTATTTATACTGTCAAAATGGGAAAAACCTTTTTAAAAGCCATAGATAAATCTCAAGATTTACAAAGGAAGCTATGGATAAGCTGACAACATAAAATTTTAATCTTTCTCTCTTCCAATAAATAAGCAAATCAATAAATAACATCAAAAGACAAACGATAAATGGATAAAAATATTTTGAGACATAAGACAGAAAGATCCCAACTGCATAGGCAAATAAGTTAAGAAAAAACCCAATTGAATACTATATAAAAGATATAAATTTACAAGAACTGAAATTACCAAACAAATTTGAAAAGATGTTAAGTTCACTCACAATAAGATGAACCAAAAGCAAAGTAATATTGCAATATATAGTTCACCAATCAGATTGGAAACATAAATTAAATTTGGAAATATTTAGTTCTAGAAATCGGAGAATCTGGCTCTTTTAGTGTACTTTCGGTGTGGATTATCACTAATCACTTTTGAGAGGATAATGGGGCGATACTTATCACATTTTTAAATGCATAGCTTTATATCCAGCAGTCCATTTCTAACTTGGAATCGACACCAAGACAGTCACAAAAGTGTGCTGAGATCTATGCACAGGAATGCTTAGTACAGATTTGTATATAAAAGTAAAAACTGGAAGTCGCTATATGTTTGATAAAAGACTAATCAAATGAACGATAGTCCACCGAGGCAGTGGGATCCTAAGCAGCGATTAAGAGAAACGAGGTAGCTCTTTATACATAGTTATTGTAGAAAGATCTCGAAAACAGAACACCAGGTGCACGGCGCTGTGCACAGCATGAGTTCTAGAGAAGCGATCCCCCCACATCCCTCCCTCCCTTCTGGAAATGCCCCCCAAACTCATCAGTCGGGCCCTGTGGAGAGAGAGAAGGGGAGCTGCGGAGACTGCTTTAGCACACTTTTCTAACTATATGCACAGACGTTCCTTGCTATTTTCATCAGTCATGTAAGAGTTACTTGGATGGTCAAAACATGAACTACTTTTATTTGCCTTTTATGTTTTTCCATATAAAATACAAAACCAAAGACGTTTTTTCTTTCTTAAAGCAACAAATGTGGTAGGGATCAATTCTGGACTAACAATAAGAAATGAAGCATTTTATTTATATATCAAAACACTTTTTGTTTCCAAAGACATTTAAATAGAAAGGAAAAAAAACCCAAGAAATATTGTGCACATTTCTCTATTCCATGTAGGGTGGGTGCACTCCGAGGACGACCCGCTCCATGTGGCCCGGTGCTGCAGCCTCCTGCTTTGTCAGCCTCACGGCTGTGAACAACGTCTGTGCTCCTGTCACACACAGACGCACCCGTGCACACACACAGAGCACGCACAGCCCTCACCTTCCCGCAGCACAAGTGAGCTGATGAAATGGGTGGCGGGCAAATGTCTTCAAGTTTGTTTGCTCTGTGAAATCTAATCTTTCCTCGTGATGGGCCTATTTCAGGGTCAGGAACAGACTCCGGGACTCCAGGAGCTTAGAAGCCTTGCGTAGCTCTGCGGTCTAAACACTGTAGAGCTCTCTGTGTTACCTTCTTATCTCATTAAAAATAAGAACGGAAAGAGGCAGAATGACTGTCATCACCTAGATAGCCTACGAGGAGCACCCCATCACCTATTAGGTTTTAAAATTAAGCCTCTCCAGTGAATCCTCCCATTGGACCCAAGCCTGCTTTCTCAGCTGCCGCTGCAATGAGCAACCTCAGGAGACAGGACAAGGACAACCACGATTGGGCTGAGCAGCTCTCCCTGCTGCCTGCACCCAGTCCTGTGCCTAGGAAATCATCAGTGGTACCACGTCCTCCCTGGTGCCTGCCATGTGGGGCCAGAGAGCTTCCTGTCCCTGCACAGTGGACCTGCACAGAGAAAAAGCCAGGGAACACATTGACTTCATGCGTGCATTTATGTGGCTGGACACAGCTTGAAGAGGAATCAGCTCTAATCCACATGAAAACATCTGCTTAACTCCTGCACGCCTGTGGCAATGCAGGAAGCCTGGCAGTATCAGGAAACTAAGGGGACACGGCCCACACTTCCCCACATGCGCGCATGCCACTGGGGCTGGCCCTAGTTTAGATCTGGGAGCCTGTGGTGCTCGACAGGCAAAGGTTTATAGAATGACTGATTCTCTCATATAGAAATGACAAAACACTATTTTCTCTACCAGCCATCTTTAGTATGGGAGTGACATTTTGAATTGCAGGAAAACCCAACAGGTAAGCTTTTTGTTCTTTTGTCATTACTCTCCTCTTACAATTTGATTGTTGGAATGGATTCAGTGAGTGTGGTTTATTATTTGTTTCAATCTAAGTTTTGTACACAGGCAAAAAGCGTACGCTGCACTTCCGGGTGGGTCTTACTGGCAGGTGACATGCAAGCATGCAGAACCAATGGTACAGGCCTCCCTGGGTGGTCTGGAGCTACAGAAACCTTCCTACAGGGCTATCCAGAAAGTGATCAAATGGGCGATTGGGCCTGTTAATGGGCCCTGCTGACTGTGAGGGCGTGCCACGGGATGTGTGCCACGGGATGTGTGCCACGCGATGTGTGCCACGGGATGTGTGCCACGGGATGTGTGCCACGGGATGTGTATAAAAGGGATTAGAGAGAAAGGTTCTCAGATGCTATTACTGAAATAACAAGAAAACTGTAACCATTAGGACAATTGGTCATAAAGACACATGGGGTCACCCCATTAATGTCGCTATTGGGTCAGCACCCCAAATTCTCACCCACCAATGGCTCTCTGCATCTCCTGTATGTGCAGGCCAGCTGACATCAGGCGAAGTCCTTAGACACAGCCTCCACGAAGTTGGGAGCGGACATGAGGATGCCGATGGTGCAGATGATGGTGAAGACCGAGAAGGCCATTAGGCACAGGCGGTCCACCACGCAGGCCGCGAACTTCCACTCGCTGCACACAGCCTCGCTCTCATCCTGGCAGCGGAAGCGGTTGGCGATGTAGCGGACCTCCTCCAGGATCTTGGCCAGGTCTGGGTCCCCCTCCGGGTGCTGCCCCGTGTGCAGCAGGTGCTCGTCGTGTGTGGGGGAACAGGCCATGCGGCCGCACACAACCCCCGAGTCTGGGGTGGGGGCGCAGTGGACGCCCTCGAGGCCTCGGAAGCCGAGGTACAGCAGGTTGCCGTTGCCGGCTGGAGGCGCTGGCCCTGCGCTCAGCTCCATGCTGGCCAGGCTGCAGCGGCGCTGCCTGTGCTGGCAGACGGGCCGCACCTTGTCCTCGCCGGGCCTCTTCATGCGCAGGAACCACGCGCACCAGTTCAGGAGGATGATCCTGGTCTGGGGACACAACAGAGGGTTCAGAGGGGCCCAGGAGGAGCCCCCCATGATGCTGGGGCTGACCCGCGCCATGGCTTCTCCCCTAACTTTGCCCACACAGGAAACGCCAAGCCCTAGCCATGGTTGAGTCAAAGACACCGTGAGCACAAAACCCATGCACGTTCACCACCCCAGGAATGAGACAAAGTCTTCTCTGAGACAGGCAGAAAACAGCCCTGTGGGGGAGGAGCTGAGGTGCTCTGGCGAGGCTAGGCATGAATATTTATGAAGCTGTTTTAACCTCTGCACTAAGAAGACCTTCTGCTATTATTTCTTTGGGACTGGGAGCTCTGTGAAAAAACTCTTGAGACACAAATGTGCTGTGAACCATGCAAGTCTCAGAACCTCCGACCTAACTTGTTAGGCCGCAGCAAAGCCCAAAGACCCGGCGTCCTGGGAAGGACTCTGCAAAGTCAAAAGCAGGCTAGGCAAACTTCCTGCACCACAGCGAATGGTTTTGCTCTTTAGGCCGTAAAGTCTCTGAAGTACTCTGGTCGCTGATGCAATCCCCAAAGAAAGCATGTGAGGGGCTGTTTTCTGACACATTTTATTTACAAAAACTGGACTCCATTTGGCCACCAGGGCTACAGTTTGCCAGGCCCTGGTCCAAAGTGTGTTATAGCCTTCTACCACAGCATCCACTGAAGAGCAGTAGCCGTGGCCCTCTACTATCCCATTGCCATGGGCCTCAACAAGGGCCACAAGGTGACTAAGCATGTGAGCAAACGAGGACGCCTCACCAAACACACCAAGTCCGTGTGGGACATAATCCGGGAGGTGTGCGGCCTCACCCCCTACGAGCGAGTGGCATGCCATGGAGCTGCTCAAGGTCTCCAAGGACAAACACGCCCTCAAGTCATCAAGGAAAGGGTGGGAGCGCGCACCCACGCTAAGAGGAAGCGGGAGGAGCTGAGCAAGTGCTGGCCGCCATGAGGAAGGCAGCAGCCAAGAAGGACTGAGCCCCTCTGGAGTAAAGCTTTGAAGAAAAAAACAAAGTGTTTTATAGATTGACAGTATTTTTGTTTTGTTTTGTTTTGTTTTTTGTCCTTTTGGGTCAGATCCAGGGTAAACTTATAGAGCCTGCATGTATGAAGAATTTGGTGAAAAATCAGCCTATGAGTGACATTATCTTTGCCTTTACGGACAGAAAGGAGACAATCCAAACTCCACCTGAGGCAAAACCAGAAACCACAAAAGGATTCTTGCAAGCCGAGCCACATAAACGTGTGTGAAGTGAACCCTTTCTTTGAAATCATCCATATACTAACTTCATTTTCATTTTGTTTGATGATTATGGTGAAATGTCATCAACCACCTAGCAGGTAGGTGGGGTGACAGATAAGGTATGAGCTGCAGGTCTGCGGGGCTTGCTTTCTTGGTAATAACTTCATGACATCTTATCAAAGATAACTGAAGCAAACAGGGCTGGAGGGAAGAGAACAAGGCGGGCCAGCAGGGCCGGCTTCATGGGCGCTGCGGAGCCAGCCCCGTGTCCCACGTGCATTCCACCCTGCAGACAACTGTCCATCTGGAGGGGTTTTCAGAATCAGTAATAAGCAGTACACATGGCCGCAGTGAGGCCTCACCCAGTGAGTCTGAGCTTCATGAGACATCCTTTCACTGGGACCACTTGGGATTCTATCATGTGACAAGAATTCTCCCATTTTGCAGACAGATAAACTAACCTCCAAAGAGGCAAAGAAAGTGGCTGGAGGTCACACAGTGATCCAGGAGTAGTCACTTCTGTGTTTCAACTTTGGCAGCCCTGGCCATATATCATTTCCTTTCAAAGCTCCTGTGACCGAGCCCTACACCCTCTCTGAAAACATCAGGAAGCCCACCCAGACCTCAAGGGAGGCTGCGGGACAGGGGTGTCGGGACCAGAAGCTGCTGTGCAAACAAAGGCTAAGGAGGGCCGAAGCGCTTCCCGCAGGGGCAGGGTCTGCACGTGCAAGAGGCCACCTCAGCCACCACGACCCACTGCACCAAGTCCATTTGAATTCCGTGGCCTGAGTCATCTCCAAAGATAGAATTATCCTTTCGGCACTTATCAAACTGTGCCTGTGACCCCTCTTGTGAGGTGTCAGCTTTGTTTCTCGCTGTGCAAATGTCACATAATGCCACTGCACCCGCAGTATCTTCTGCACTGCAATGGATCACAGTAAAAATCCCTTGGAGGCTGTTTCAAATACACATGGACCGAAAGAAAAACCCACTGTGCTCTCTAAAGTGAGGAAGACAGGGATAGGCTTTGTGTTTTACGTATAGGCAGTTGGTTTTAATAAGCCTTTACACTGAGAAGTGATGCGTTAGCACAGGCTGGTAATTAAGAGGTTTTTGTAAGAGGATAGTGCTACCAGGTCATTAAAAATGGTTTTGCATCGGGTTTAGGTGCCTTATCTTCAGGTCAGTCAAAATACTGTTTATGCTGTTGTGTACAAATAAATAGACAATAGCGGGAAAGGAAGGAATTCACTGGAATGATTATCAGTACTGGTGGAGGAAGCCAAGTGAGGGGTAGAATTGGGAGCCAGATTTCCTCACATAGACGCTCTTTTCTCTGGCTTTAGAGATAGGTAAGCACATTATCTCTTTCACACGCATATATAGGTAAACACACGCGAGTAAGCAAGGCCTTAGCTCTCATCCCTGGCCCAGCATCGTGCCCAAGTGTGCCAAGGTCAGAGAACAGCCTGATATAACGCAAATGAGTTGTGCAAAGGCACTGTAGGTTTTCAGGGGTCTCCGACTTGTTGGAGCAAGCACCAGGGACTACAGTGACATCACCAAAGGGTAGGGTATCACCACCCGGGCTGCGCTGGCACCACTGCCGGTACCATGAGCTACAGGTGAGCTATTGTACGCGCATGTGTGTGTGTGTGTGTGTGTGTGTGTATGTGTGTGTGTGTGTAGGGGGTGCTGTGGAAGAATTCTGAGGGCAAAACATACATCTGAAAGGCCAATTGTTAAAAGTGACTTTTAAAAGCGACCCTCAGTTAACTTTGCACAAGTATAAATTCTTGCATAATTGCATGTTTTGAGAAGGCTCAGAAAACCTCTGTTCCAGTTAATGCTTAAGTTTTTCAAAAAAAATTTCATCCTCCTAATTTCTTATAACTTTCTTTCCTTTTTTTTTTTTTTTTTAAAAACAGTCTTGTAGGCTTACGTCTGGTAGCCTAAGTAACTAATTTGAAGATAATATGCAATGCAAGAGGCAGGGTCACATCTCTATTACTTTGTTTAATTAAATTTTGTATTGTTTGTACTTTTTCTTTTTACCATTTTATACTTTAAAAAATAAAAATAAAAAAGGAGAAAAATCCCTCTGTTCCTGGAGGGCCTTTCAATGCACTCCTTGTTCTGAATTTAGCATGCTGCTGGTCCCTTCTGGCTGCCGAGAGAGCCTAAAAGGGCTCCAGGACAGGCATTTTTTGCAATTCAGGGGCCCTTTCCATCCCAGGACTACACTACACACCCTGGATAGGAGGACTTGGGAGGCCTGCAGGGAGGTGAGACAGCTCCCACTTGCTCTGTCCTGGTGAGATGGGCCAAGCCCAGGACCTGGCTCAGCCCTCAGGATCCCCTGACAGTTAGTTGCAGGTGGACACAGAGCTGTGACACAGTCCTGCAGGATGAAATGGCGCAGGAGGGTGAACATCAGCAGACCGGGAAGTCCGCTGTGGGGAAGGCGTGGAATGGCTCCTGCTGAAACCACAGACTGGAGGATGCGTCCTACACTTTGTCGCCCACTTCCTTGTATCCCTTTGCCTTTTCCCCTTGGTGACCATTCATCTTTGTATCACAGCTTTGGCTGAGATGACCCCGCCGTGTGTACAGTGTGTCCTACACCGGGCCCTCTGCGTCTGCAGGCTGTACCTCCAGGACCCAGCCCACCAGAGACTGAAAAATATTTAGGGAAAATAAACTTCATCTGTACTGAATGACTACAGACATTTTTCTGTATTATTTCCTGAACAGCAGAGCATAACTATTTACACAGCACTTACATTCTGTTAGGTGCTACGCATTATCAGGAGATGATTTACAGCACACAGGAGGACATGCACAGGCTCTGTGCCGATTCCGTCCCACGTCATGTATAGCATCTGGGCATTTGCAGGGGCTCCCAGAGGCAATGCCCTGCAGACACCACGGGACTGCTCTGTCTCTGCATAGTTCAGCCTTCTCCTTACTCTTCTGCTCATTTGTTGTGAGGCTTCAACCCCGTGTTAGGCGTTTAGCTCGTCTCTTCCATCCCACCCATGCACAGTAGTCCACAGTGTATGTAAATGAATGGTTTTTAAAAAACCACTGCACTAGTAAAGCGCACACAGCAGCCGGTGTGGAGCTGTGCTCTCAGGCGTCAGACTCAAACACAGCCACAGCAGAAAAGTCACGGAGCCTGTAACTGTGCTCTCTGCCAAGGATGGACAGGGGTGAAGCCCTAGGACAACTCCTGCCACCTGTTTCAGAGTGCCAGTTTTCATACGATGTTTTCAATAGATAACCCACATGACAATGCCCCTCTAGAAAGGGCTTTCTAGTAGGGCAGGAACATACCCACTTGGGCATCTTGCCTCCGTCGGGGTCGTGGTGGTGGTACTGCAGCACGACCACGGTCACCACAACAGAGAGGCCAACGATGATCATTGTGCTGGCAAAGTACTGGGCTGCAAAGAGAGCAGACACAGTGAGGCCGGGCTTCGGCGGCACCAAGTGTCGCGGCGCCTGTGCTTCTGGACCTCCGTCTGCCGGCAGTGCTCTGCTGGAGCATGGGCGTGCCAGGGACAGGCCTGGACAGTCCTGCTGGCCAGGCCAGGCCTACAGCTCACTACTCCCATTCCTGGAGGAAAGGGGTGGCCCAGAGTCCACGGGCCCTGACGGTCCACCTCCAACTGAGTGTGGCAATTCCCGCATGAACCAAACAGCTACCCACAGCATGATGCTTCCCCCTCTAGCAACTGCCCAGAGGCCTCGCTTTCATGACCAGGAAGGGAATGCTATCTGCAAGAGCTGAGCATCAGAGCCCAGGTGCCAGACCAGGCTCCCCTTGCTCGATACTACTCGCTCCTATCCAGGAAGGCACGGGCCATGAGTGATGCTGTCTCCTGTGATTCCCTCCCTGGGTGGAAGATTATGCCTTCTATCTGTCCAGGACCAAACCCACTTGTTCCATTCCTGTTTCTCCAAACAGTTTAAAAAAAAAATCTAGGACCCAAAAGTTAAAAAATGAAGTGTGTGCATCTCCCATTTTAACAGAAGATTTATGGAAAAATAATCAACTAAAATTATTAGCCACTAATCATGAAATCTGTGACTGCAAAGCAAGTGTGGAAGAGAGAATTACAGGAGGAAGAGCCACTTCTGTAAGCCCTGGGGCGTGGCTGGGGCTCTCTGTGCTTCTCCGGCTCATGTTAAACTTCTTAGGCAGTGATGGCAAATCTTTCAGAGATGACTCCCCAAACCGGAACCCCAGACTCACTTACCACAAGTGCCAATGCTGAAATTCAACCTGAATACGGCAGTTTTAGTTTAGAATAAAACAACTCATATATTAGCATCTTTTGTCTTAAAAAGAAAAGCAAGTGACACACACGCCACAGTCTGGCCGGCACTGTCATAGGCGTGAGAACTCTCTATGTCTCAGCCTCCCGAGCACCGAGAATACAGGCAGACAACACCGCCCATGCAGTTCTGTGATTTATTTATTTATTTTTAACTTAAAAATATTTCATTTATTTGGTACAGGATCTCACTACGCAGCCTGGACTCGCAGTGATCCTCCTGTCTCAGTCTCCCCAGCACTGCAGTGACAGGTGCACACCACGCCTGGTTTCAGTGGCTGGCATGACATGGCACCGGCACAGCATGCAGTACCGGGGCTCGAACCTGGGTCCTTCTGCTTGCCAGGCAGTTGATTAGACCACTGAACTATCTCTCCAGCCCCATTCTACAGTTTAAAGCCCAATGACAAGCTGGACATCCCCTCCCTTGACTTGGGTCAAGGCAGAGAGAGCACACGGGTCCTTCTGAATAGTGACCTCAAGTAGCAAACTCGTGAGAGAAAATGGAAGGCACCACAGCTCTCCGCGGCCTGGAGGACACATTTCTCCTCCTTTGGTCTGTGGCTGAGACCCCAGCCCTCCTCCACCCCAGGCCTTTACGAAACGAGCCTGCCTCTCGCCTTACCTATCAGTGGTACTGAGTCAGACGTTGCGGGCATGATCTCGGCCACAAGCAGCATGAAAACCGTGAGAGAGAGCAAGACTGTTATCCCTAGAACACAAACACACAGATGGTCCTCAGACAGAGTAAGTAACAGGGCCTGTGTCCCATCTGGCTGGGGCTCTCACTTGAGTTTCAAAGACAGTTTCTGATTATTTGGGTTCTTGCATTTACCTGGGGACATCCTCTGTCACTTAGCACAGTTCCAAGGGACTCTCTGGTGGAGACAGGTTTAGGAACCAGAACTTTGGAAAAATTAACACAGCACCGCTTTCCCTCATGTTCTGTATGTCATTTCTGCAGAGTGGTAGCTTCACAGAGCAGGAGAAAGAAACAATGTAGCCTAAACGCCTGGCTTCACAGTTACTTGCACGCGCTGCATGACTTGGGTGTGTCCTTTGCTAGCCTGAGCCCCATACCCCGAAAAGAAAGAGTTTGGGAATGGTTTCTACGGTACGCTAAAAATGCATACATTTAAGGATTCGCTGAGCTAATGATAAATCCATTTCACTATCCGAAATCCTGCTGAGTTTCGTCTGTGACTGTAGGGATTATTATATACAGCGATACACAAAGGCAAGCTCAGAAAGAGCTAAAAACTGCTCCCTCTGCACACTGAAGGCTGATTCAGTGCCCCAAGGAACAAGGGAGGTCAGAGGGAAAGCACTTGCCCTGCAGGGCAGGCTGAGCTGGTCTCTCCCTGGGTGTCATTCTCTCTGGGGGTTCAAAGGATCCCAGACCCTGCAGTGCTCTCAGAAGGTCACACCTGCGCTGCTCAGAGCCTGGACCAACAGCCTCTGGTGTCTTAACGCTGCCTGAGTTGAAAGGCCGGCATGTAATGAGCCCAAATGAGCTGGCAGGCAGGGCCTGGGGGCCGGATGCAGCTCTGAGCTGCTGCAGAGGCCCCGCAAGCTGAGCTCAGGGAAGGGCCTCCATTCTCGAGTCCTGCCAAAGACCCAGGCACTTGCCGAGGGATATCTTCTCCCCGGAGTCTGCAGGGAGCAGAAACACCAGCAGGGCCAGGGCCGAGATGAGCACACAAGGGATGAGCAGGTTGAGCCCGTAGTACAGCGTCCTGCGGCGCATGGTCACCGTGTACGTGACGTCCGGGTACGGCTCTTTGCAGCACTCGTAGAACTTCTCACTCCTCTTGCCCGGGATCCCTGCATGGGATACAGCAGGAGGGAAGAGTGGTCAGGGCACACAATTCCTCTGTGTGTGTATCAGTGCACACACCACACACAAGCGCAGCCTCAGAGATCATTAAGCTCTGAACACTTGGGTAATTAATGTTTGAACGAACCCTCACTGGGTTGCTATGCCGTCGTTTAAAGGTACTCAGTGACACTTGAGTAAACTGACAGATGTTTTTCTGACAGACTGGAAGTACATGATTATAAATAACACCCCATCGATTTTACACCCTTATAAATGTAAGTGCAGTCACAGGCTGCAAAACAATGTTTCTGTCAAAGATGTGACAAATACATGACATTAGGGCGGGAGGATGAAGTCACCCGGAGGCTGCCCAGCCACCTTAGTGTTTTGGAAGTAGACACACTATGAGCTTTACACAATGAGGCCATATTTGTGGAATGCATTCCCAACTTCCAGGGACTTGTGATGACATTGCCTTCCTATTTAAAATAATGAAATACAGGTTTTCTGTTGATAAAATAAGTCAAAATGGCTGCAGGAGAGAAAAAGACAGAGAGAGAGAGAGAGAGAGACAGAGAGAGAGAGAGAGAGAGACAGAGAGAGAGACAGAGAGAGACAGAGAGAGAGAGAATGAATGTAAGTCTCTTCCTGAGCCTTAGAGACTTGTAGACGGGGGGTAGACTGCCACTAAGTTATGTGGGTAATGAAATCTGTTGGAAGGAACAAAAGTTTCAGAATCTAAAAATTCTCTGAAAGGCTTAAAAAAAAAGCCAGAGTGACCAGTCTGCCTCCTGTCCCGGGCATTAGAATGGCTTATGCAGTTTGTGAGCAGCGGACTCTGCATCACCTTCCAGCCAGTAGGTGTACTTCAGTTCCACTCATCTGCTCCAGCTGCAGGCCACCTGCCCAAGCCTTATCACGCGGCCCCTAGCCTGGCCACCCTATAGACAGCCCCCCGCCCCCAACATGCACTTCCTGACTTGCCAGTCTGTTTCGGGCCCCAGTGCAACAGTTTGTACTTTATTTCAGCCTCCTCTGCGATTTTCTTGTTTCATGTCATCAACTGAAGTCTGCCGTCCAGCCCCGCGTTAGGAGTGGTGTGAGGCTGAAGAAGGCAGGGACACCTCTGCCGGCGCAGACTTCTTTAAAGCTGTCCTTGCCCTGCTTCCAGGTCGTCCTGCACAGGGTGGCGTTTGCTAATTGTTTTTGTTTCTCATCAGAAAAGAGTAGAAGGTGGTAGACAGTGCCCAGCTCACTAAGTGCCCGCACGTGGAAGAGGCAGGGGACAAAAGTGCTCGCAAGCCCATTCTAAACGGCCTGCCTGCGGCCTCCTCCGCACTCACCCACAAGGTCCCACTCTCCGTTGGGGATGTAGCTGCTGATGTCCGCCTCCTGCATCTGCAGGTCCAGTGACCACCCTCCGTAGGACCAGGACCCAAACTTCAGCTTGCACTGCTGCACGTCAAAGGGGAACCAGCGCACGTCAATGTAGCAGGTGCTCTTGAAGATGCCTGCAGGGTGACAGAAAGCGACAGCAACAGGGACGGAGGCTGAGCCCAAAGCACCCAGTCGTCTTTCCAGCCCTCCCTGCCTCTTCAAACTGCTGCCACTCCTGTTCAGAACAAACTGCATTGAAAATACTTTTATTTGTAATTTTGCAAAATGTTTTTAAAACACAGCTCCACTGAAGCTTGTGTTTTGAAATCTAAATGCAAACACAAATTGAAGAAGACTTTTCTCGGGAGTTTCCGTGAAAAAATTAGCTCTATAAACTTCTCATTGCCTTCAGCACCCTCAGAGTCTAAACAACAAAGTAAAAGTAAAGAATGCAACAAATCTGAGAGGAGTTCATAAAAATGATGGAGGGGTTGACGGACTGAAAGGCGTGTGACTGACGGAGGGTGGGGTAGGCATCTTCTCCAGGTTCAGAACTGAGAAAACGCTGGGGATTAACAGCAAAAGGCAAGAGGGATCTCTGTGAGCTGACGGCAATGTTCTAAAATTGGAGTATAGTAATGGTGGCACACTGCCCCAAATCTACGAAAAAGCAGTGACTCATGTGCTTAAAATGTATGGTATGGAACTTGTACATCCTCAGGGCTGCTAAAAATCCACACAGGAAGTGGAGGGCAGGAGTCATGTTACAACCAGGCCTTTATTGCAAAACTTGCATCCAGGGCTGGGGAGATAGCTCCGTGATCTAAAGGCCTGCCTGGCAAGTGCAAGGACCCAGGTTCAGTCCCCGGTACTGCATGCTGTGCTGGCCCCGGAACCCTGGGCACACCACGCCAGCCATGGAAACCGGGTGTGGTGGTGCACACCTGTAATCACAGGACTAGGAGGTTGAGACAGGAGAATCACTATGAGTCCAAGCTGCACAGCAAGACCAATTAAATAAAAAAGAAAAACAAAACTTGCATCCAAAATATTCCTATTCACCCTTGTCTACTAACAGGGACATAGCATCCTAGAAGCAGCCTCCTAGGACTGCAAGGCCCAGGCAGCTCTGCCAGAGTAAAGGAGAGTCCCAGGTCACACGCACTCGTCCTGTCCTTCCTAACCCCAGGCCCCACGGCCAGCTCACAGGGCTGGAGTCCCGGAGTGAGAGCTACATGCTAGGAGCAGGAGGGCGTGGAGTACAGCTTAGCCCTCCAAGCCACCTGCAGCACAGAGCTCCTCCATCCAGGGAGGCCGCTTCCTACAATGGTCCACATATCAGAGGCTGCAACTTGCAGGCTTCCTGAGAAAGCACCTAGGTGTGGCGGAAGGCGCTGCACAGCCCGGGTCTGCAAAGGCGGAAGGGCCTGCTGTGCAGAACTAGAGCTGGAGCGGGCCCTGCAGGGAGCGTGCTGAAAGCAGACGCTCCACCAGGGACGCGCAACAGAAGGATTTTCTCCTGCTAGACAGACATCACAGGGCATTATCCAGTCTTGACAGCTTCAATCGTAAGGGCCACACATGGCTGAGAAACAGAATTTCTCAGGTGAGCACACAGAGATACTGACTAGGGATGTTTAGCATCTGTTGACAGGAAGAGCATGCTGTAAACAACCACCCAGTAGGCAAAGCCAGCTCTGCAGCATGCTGGGAGACCAGGAGGCCGGAGGGGCTGACTCTGGAGAGGAGTGTGTGCATGGCGCGGAGTGTGTGTGTGCGCATGGGTCCACTGAAGGTGTGAGTGTGTGATGTGGGTATACGTGGTGTGGACTTGTGGACTTCATGTGGCATGTCTGGTGTGTGTCCCTGGTGCTAGTACGTATCAGAGTGGTGAGCCGTGGGGAGGGGAGTAGATGCAGATTTCTTGTGAGGAGGAAATTAAATAAACTAGACAGTTGTAATAGGGGAGATAACCCTGGAAAATAATACGTTTAAGGATCTTTCAAAAGACAAAAAAAGAAAAAACTCAACTGTTAATATCCACATGCAAAGCATGCCCTTGAATGTGCCTCAAGCCCACCACAGATCCCAGCTCCGCACTGCTCAATAAGCAGCCTGGGGCCTGGGGTGGGGGAGAGTCCCCCGGAGATGACGGCCTGGGGGCAGCATCAATCCGCAGAACTAGTTTACCAGCAGGAGGTTGAGAAGGCATGAAGCCCCTCTAGGAAGCAGCCACTAACAAGCTCCCTTCGGAAATCCTGCACCCAGCATCCGGCCATCTGACCTCTGCCTGCTCTTGAACGCATGAACTCAAGAGGCGACCCAGCTCTTCCACCCGCTCCCCCTAACCCCAGGAGCATCTGCCAAGATTCTGAGTCAGCTGGGAGGTAACTAGTGGGGTTTGGGGGTGGGGGAGAAGGGGCCTAGTTAGCGGACTTGTGGGTGGAAAAGGAGATGAAAGCGCATGTCTGGCTTGGGAGTAGAAAGCAGAATTGTAAATTATCCAATAAAGGAGACTCGTCGTAATCGCAGATTGCACAGGAAAGAGAACACAGGAGCACATTGGCGATGACTGAGCCACAGTACCATGTAATGAGAAAAATGGCCCCATGAGGAGACCGGGAAGGTGCAGGGCACAGGCGTGGGCTGCACCGGCAGAGCTGGCAGCCCTACGGTTCCTAAGAGGAAGGAGACACAGGAGTGGGCGGCTCTTACCTGGAGGGAGGTACTGGCAGTGGCCGGAAGAGTTCACCAGGACGTTGGTGTGGAACGTGGCATCAAACCGCTCATCAGCGCTGAAACAGAAGGACCTGGTGAGCCGGGGCGGCAGGCTGTGCATGCCTCAGGCCCTCAGCTCTGCTGCGGCTGTGCCCCGAGTGACAGCGACCGTGCGGAGCTCCTGTGGGGACCTTGGAACGCCCCCCGGGCTGAGGAGTGGGCAGGGGCACAATGCTGCCTTGGGAGCCCACGCGGCTGGGGTTCTGGACCCAGGCTCTTCAGTGGGGCCCCATCGTGACTGGTGGTTGCCAACTGCGTCCTTAATGACAGACGCTGCAGGAGCAGGAGAGGGCTGAACATCGGGACCAGCCCAGGGGACCCCAGTCCGAGAGGACAGGGAGGCAGGGAGGACAGCAGCTCCACTGAGAGGTCTGGATGACCTACCCTGGTCCCTGCTTCTGCCCCAGTTCAAACCTCTGGCCTTACAACTTGGGTAAGGAAAGCACAGACACACCAGAAAGAAAAATTAATTAAAATTAATAGCTCATATTAACCATGTCTTTAGTTTTTAATCTCCTGATGCTCTGAGCCAGGGAACCTAAAGAGACTGTCCTCCTAGAAACTGTTCCTAAAAAGAGAAACCAGCTCTTTCTCGTGCAAATCAGGCAGTCTAAGGCCTTGCCCCCCACCTCTCTGGGACTGTGGCCCCGAGTGACTGTGGCCTAAGGGCCACAGTCCACCTGCTCAAATGTCCCCAGCAGCAGCCTCTGCCCTGCACTCCAGAGCTTGCTGGAGGCATTCACGTGAGCAGACCATAAACCTGCCCACCGCTGCCTGGCCAGCTCCTCCTGGGGACCCCGCAAGGCTCGCGTGCCCCCACTTGCCCACATGGCCTCTGAGCCAGCCCAGCCGGGGACTCTCCTTCAGCCCTGCCCGGCGTGCTGAGTCTCTTGTAGGGAACTCTGGATGAAAACTTCTTCCATGACAATCACTTCTGCGTCTGCCTGTCTGTCTGTATTCAATTCAAAGAAGTTCTAGGACCCGGTAACATATGGCCACACACATCAGCGAACACAAACCCCTTTATGAAACCTAGGCAGCAGGTCAGGGTGCTCACTCTCAGGGCCAAGCTCCTCTCATTTTTTTTTTTACTTTTTAATTTATTTATCTTTATTTATTTATTTTTTTATTTTTGCGGCCAGCTCAGCCCGCCCTGGGGCGGGGCCAGCAAGGCATCATGTGGTGCCAGGAATCAAACTGCAGTCCCTGAGCCTGCCTAGGCAGGCGCTCAGTGTGTTGAGCTACCTCGCTGGCCCGTTCCTTCTACTTTGAGGCCTGGAAAGCCGGGCTAGGGTGCCCATGTGGCCAGCCTCACCCACTGTTTTCTATTCCCAAGATCCTTTTCGTGGAAAAAAGCCAAGAACCACAAGACAACTGTGATCGACCCTTGCAATGAGACATATAATTGAAGACAGGCACTTAAAGAAGATGCCAAAAGAAGCTGCCCACGCAAAGAACGAAGACTCACTTAAAAAAGGCACATCCTGCCCCCAATTCAGGGAGGGGTACGGTCATTCTACAGACAGGCCGGGCCGCAATATGGAAATTAAAGCAACTATGATTGATGAAAGAACTTTCTGTAAACAGTGGGAGGGCTAGTCGGTAAAAACCACAGAGATGACAAGCAGGACACAAATGATGCAGCTCACAAAGGACAAGGCCAGGAGAGCTCCTGTCACCAACAGAGGCTTTGTCAGGAGGCAGCAGCATGAGTGGGAGGGAAAAAATCAACAAAGACCTATAAAACAAAATTTTCTAGATCGGAAAACCATGCCAGCATGAAGGCAAAAAAGGGCATGAAGGCCTCAGAGAGCACGTTTCTCAGGGGCATGGCCTTGGTTGGCTTCAGAAAAATGAGGATGAAAACTGAGAAAGAAGGAGACTTTCAGACTCAGCCTAGAGATGGGCAGCAGTGATTGTCCAATGATGGGTGGACCAGGCTGAAAAAGTGGGTACAAGGAGGGAAGGCGGGAGGGAGAGGAAGGAGGAGAGAAGGGAGGGAGGGGGAGAGGTGGGAAGGACAAAGAGGGAGGAGGAGGGAGGAGAAGGGGGGGAGGGGGAGAGGTGGGAAGGAGAGAGGAGAGGAGGGGGAGGGAGGGGAGAGGAGGTGAGCAAGAGGGAAGGAGGAGAAGAGGGGGGAAGGGAGGGGAGGGAGAGGAGGGAAGAGAGGTGGAGAGGAGGGAAGAAGGGAAAGGGGGAGGAGAAGAGGGGGAGGAAAAGGGAGGGAGGGGGAGAGGAGGCTAGCAGGAGGGAAGGAGAGAGCAGAGGGGGAGGAAGGAGGGGAGGAAAGAGGGAAGGCAAGAGTAGGAGGAAAGAAAGAGGAAGGAGAGGGGGGAAGAGGAAGGGGGAGAGGAGGAGGAAAGGAGAGAGGAGAGAAGTGAGAAGAGGAGGGAGGAGAGGAAGAGGAAAAGAGGAAGGGAGCGGAGGGGAGAAGGGAGGGGGAGGGCATCAGGGGTCTCTGGGAGAGGATGGAGATACAGAGTGAGAGAGAAGAAATAATTTTACATTTGTAAAAATAATAATAATAATAATAATAATAATAATAATAATACCAACAAAAAAGGCAACCAGGAACTCAAGAGGAAAAAACCATGCAAGGAAGGTGAGATTTAATTTAAATATGAAACGAAACAGCGATGCTGTGTGCAAGGGAGGAGGCTAAGTCACTACTACATCTCCGCTGTGTGCAGAGGCAACAAAGGATGTACACACGCTCATACACCCAAACGCTCAGAGGGAAAGCGGGGTGGGGGCAGGGGTGGGGTGTCGGGGTGCAAACATTCTCTGCCAGACCCAGGTCTCCTTCTGGCTACGCCTCATCTTCAACAGAGACAGCACAGAAATGCACTCCTTCGCCAGCCGGCCCCAGGCAGCGCCACGCTTCTCCAAGAGGCTCCTCTTGAATCCCGAGGTTCAGGGTTTCTGCAAAGGTTCAGCTCTGATATATCACTTTCTTCATATTAGCAAATGTCCCAAAAGCCACCGTACTCTCAAATGACTGCACACAAGAGCAGAAGTCTCCAGACACTCCGGGCACACTGAGCGGTGTGCCCTGCCTTGCTCCCTTTGGGGTCCAAATCAAATTTAAATTTCCCTTGCTATGAAGGCATTTTCACTTCAATCGCCTGGAAATGATTCAGCCGTAAGATTTCAGTTTTTGTTTCAATTCTGGGGGGAAAAGGCTCCTGCAAGCTTTTCCTCTGAGCACTTAGATACCTTTAATTGGAGAGGCTCTCCAGCTCACAAGAGGAATTGGTGGAAACAAGATTGAGAACTGTTGCCATGAGCAACGGCTTACCTGTGTGACTCCACCATTCTGAACACTGTTCATCCACACAGAATGCTAAGACCCACGGGGCAGCAGCACTGCGGCTCTTATCGAAACCCAAATCATGATAGAAGTTTAATAGTTCTTTCCCATCCGCAAGTTCATTTCATCGGTACCTCATATAAAAGTGGACTTGTGTTGGAGCTTTCTTTGCGTTAATACCACTTTATCTGTTTTGAACTTCACAGCTAGGGGCATGATGGGTTTGAAAAAAGGCCTTGCTACAAAATATTGATTTTAAAAATAACTCTCCACCACGTGAAACGAAGTTTTTCTAAAATGGGAGTGGCCAGCGACATCCAAGGCCCTCGGAGGCTACAACCTCAGCAGCACAGTGGCCATGTGGGCCACTCTCACTCTCGCTAGGGTACCCAGCAGACTTCAGTGTAGATTCAATGCCACCCACTGTGTCACCCTGCAGCCGGCCAGTGCCAGTGACATGAAGGTGAGGTGGAGCCACAGGGAGCCTTTCAGTCCTCTCTCTGCTTTTGTGTGTATGTGAAAACTGCCACGTTCAGCACGTTGGAAATGGCCCAAAGCTACCTTCTTGCCCCTCGGCTGCGGGAGGCACGATGCGTCGCGTCTGGAGCTGCCTTCCTCGGCTGCCAGGTCCTCATGCACCCAGCCAGCGAGGACCCAAGCTGGCTCTTGGCATGGAAGGTGCCAGAGCCTCACCCAACACAGCAGGACGATGTGGGGAACTTAGCTCAAATACTCAGAGTACCCCTCCATTCACCAGGAGCCAGAGAGGAGGAGAGCACCTGGGAAGGGTGGGGCTCTATGGTATAGCTGAAGTGGGCACCTCCCCAGCAGAGGACACTGTCTTGCGACACTGTCTTGTCACACACCTGGTGGCCCCATTCACTGAGGGAGGCTGCAGGAGGATCTGGTTGCCCCAGCCTTTGGGTGAGTCAGATGTTGCTTCCAGTGGGGACGTGGGAAGGGAGTTTTAGGGTTGGGGAGAGGGTCCAGTATAGCTGGGTCACACAGAGCTCAGGCCCTTGGGATCACAGCTGTGACTTGGGACACAGCACCAGCGTAAGGGCGAATCCATCCCTGGGCACAGAGGGACTGTGTGGCTCTGCACTGAGAACTGTCGCTCTCCACAGCCCCTGGGGCTCACTCAGGCCCAGCCCTGCTCCTGGGAAAGCTGCTGACCCTAACAGCAGACCTTGCTTCAGCCTCAGCACTGACCGCCACTGCAGGGCTGAAGTGTCTCAATCTGACACCTGCGCAGGGCAAGGCGGCTGTCCTACCTGCGGAGAAAAGTGTCACCGGCCCCAGGCACCCAGTGTCAACCTAGCAGAGAAAAGCAGAATTTCCCAGCCACCAGGGACTCCAGCAAACTTGACCTCTGATGGGACACGTGCCCGCCAGAATGAGAGCACATCAGCACCAGGCACAGAACTCTTCAAAGTCCAGGTACACTGTGCTGCTGCAGAGCAGACTACATGGGGTTCGGGGGAGCCCCAGGTATGAGGTCTCAGAAGTGTCGTCCCATTTCCTCTGAACTCTTTTGATATCCTTGAAAGACAGACAGGGAAGAACAAGATGGATGAAACACTAGCTACCTAAAACTGAAAGAGAGGAGAAAGGAGGAATCCTATCTCAGAGGACAGCGGATCTCAGGTTCCACTTACTTTAAAGTTCCTAAGTGCAAAAAGCTGCAGAATATGTGCTGAGACCGTA